TGAACTAATGGCTCTGGAGAAAAAGGAGCCTCGCTTTGTGGAGACGGGAAAAAAATTATCCACTGCTGGTTTTAATTTAAGATGAAAAAATATCTTATTCTATTAGCCTAAATATTGCTCTGCTGTCCAATTGCGTGGAGTTTGGAATAATATTTTTCAAACAGAACTACTGCTATTTCAAGTAATTATGCCGCTAAAAGCAGCCATTTGGGCTTGGGCAAGGTCTCATCATGGTTCCAATTCCCTCTGGTGTCATTTTCTGTTATATTTGAGAAATTCCTCAATAAAGATGTCAAATAGAGAGAGGGCTGCACTTCCCGGAGGACAGACCTGGCCCCACTCCAGGACACAGCCCCAGGCAAGCCATCTCCACAAGGAAAAAAACCTCCTTTATTGAAAAGAAAACAGAAGGTTTAACTGCAAAAACGCAGGCCAGAAAAAACGATCCACCATGCACCTCACGCACGTCTGCTAAGCAACTCGAATGCTTTCGGTACTTATTTCTGGGGTGCTCCGGGTTCTGTCCCGCTCACCACCCCTGAGGAATTTAGGGGGCGGCTCCCAGAGGATTGTTACAGCTGGACAAAATCCTGGCCCAAATTCTGGAGACAGAACAGCACCAGGCTGGGTCTCTCTCCTACTTGTGATGGCCGCAGGCTGAGGGTCATGATGACCAGAGGGGCTCAGGACCCCAGGAGACAATGACAAGCCAATGGCTCAGCCAGCCCCTCAAAGCCCCTGCTCGGTCCCTGGCAGGCTTGTCCTGGATGCTCTGCCGGGCAGCACACAGACGATTCCAAATTCCAGGCAGGTGGTTAAGTGACCAAGGCGGCTGGCTGGACCCCTGGTAGGGACGGGCTCAATCAGGGCACCCCTGTCCTCGAGCTCACACTTTATCCTTGCTCTGCCCGCCTGTAGTGCAACGCACCCCACAAGGTCTCACATCCGGAGCGGGGAGGGACCGTGGATATCCGGAGCACATAGCTTGGGTACCTGAGACCCTCAGATTCCTCCCCCAAGGGGTCCCAAGTCTCCAGTTCTTAGACACACAAATGTCACTGAAGTCTGAGCCCTGCAAAGGGTCAGCTGCTTTGGGGATAAAAGGCCAGAGCGCCGACACTTAGGTTAGGGAGCCCCCAGGCTCACTGCAGGGCAGGACAGAGTACAGATCCCGGCACAGAAATCCCAGAACCCTGACTCCAAACACGGCTTCCTGCTCACTAGGAAGGAATGTGCCAAGGTGGCAGCGGCAGGCATCGAGGCGGTGTTGTCTGGAACCGTCAGGAGCTGTGCCGGATGCAGGCCTGTCTGCACTTCTGTCCCGAGTCCCACGGCTGTCGGGGGCTGGCTGGCTGTGGCCTCGTGGGATCGATGCTGGAGACACCACTTTTTACACCCCAGCAGACAAGTTACATGGAGATAACCATCACAAACCTAACAAACGCCACCGCGGTGGGACACACAGACGTGCTGGTGGGTCAGGTGAAGGCAGTGCTGCTGGCTTGGACCTGTGCCGAGATACAGTGATGACAGAACTCACAGCCCAGGACAGAACTTTACAGCCACCCCTGCCTCCTGTTTAATCCCCGCTCTTCTGCAGCCAGACTGACTGACCCATTCCTCAGCCGGCAGGGGACTCAGGTTGACAGGGTCTGAGGAGCTGGTCCAAAAGTCCACAGTGTGCATCACAGGGCCACCAGAATTTGAGCTGTCATGTTCCTCCAAGCCCAGCTCGCCCTTGGAGCATGATTGGTCTTGGCCAGAGTGTATGGGGCTCCCTTGTCTGACACCACACCAGGCATTTAATTCTTAGGGTGGTTCATGGGTGAAGGGGCTGGGGCTCCCAAGGTCAGGCTGGGTTGGAGCTGCCTGGAATTGAGGTCTCATTGCTCTGAGCCGGAGTTTAGACTTGAGGAGGAAAAAGAACAAACAAAAAGAACTGTGTTGGAAAAGGTCTGCCCGCAGCCGTGAGTGGAGGGCCCAGAAAGGTCCTGTTCTTGGTGGCTCTCCGTGCGTGCTGGAGCTGGAGAGCCAGTTGCAGGCCGCTCTCAGAGGTATCGGGTGGGGTGTGAGGGAGGGTGTCCGGCCAGCTCAGAGTGACCAGAATTCACGTGGACATGTCGCTGTCGGAGCAAACATCTGCGTGGACCTTGCCACCAGTCTTCAGGCTGGCGGGCTTGGGCGCTGCTGAGGCCAACAGAGGAGCATGCTGGAGCCACAGGGCGCCCCAAGTGGCAGACAGAGAGTGCAGCCTACAGAACCCCGCAAGGTCCTGGAGGCAGCCAACCAGCCCATCTCTCCCAGAAGCTGGTGCCAGATGGTCACTTGCAGCATTCTGGCTGGTCGGTGCCTGTTCACTGCTCTCTGCTCTACATCTGTGATCTCCCCGAGTCCTCACAGGGCAGGGATGAGGCACTCCATTTTCCAGGTGGGGAAACCGAGGCACGGAGCAGTGGGGAAATGGTGAGACCCCAGGATGCCAGTCCCCACGGTCTGTCCTCTAGGCCACAGGGGGCTCCCACCTGCTTCTCAATTCCCCAACCGCCCTTTAATACCTGAAAGGTTGCACACACTGGAGAAGCTCAGCCCTTGGCTCTGGGAGGGCTGCGTCAGAAAATGCTCGGAAATGACTTCACTTGCTGTGTGGCCCAGCACAAGTCACACTGCCCCTGCTCAGGGGTCCTACCGGGCTCTGCTGCCCCTGGAAGTGCCACCCTGCAGCACACCTGAGACCGGCCTGGAGAAGCCACCGCCCTCCATACACCGGGCCCTTATCCTGGAGGATCCCCCAGCCTGGACACCCCGCTGAGTGTCGCTGCCTCTCCAAAGCCCCAGCTTTCACCCCCTTGCACCCCGTGTTGGTTTAACTCTTTGCGCAGGCCCTGCTGGGCTTCGGTGGCTTGCTGTGCAGACCTCTGTCTGGTACTTGTTGGGAGCATAATTACATGTTCACAGATCTGTTTCCCATAACGAGATGGTCTGAGGCCCAATCTGCGTTAAACAGAAACAGGCAGGGAACTCGGAGGCCGCCACGCCAGGAAGAGGCCAAGTGCCCAGCAGGCGGGTGTCGGGCCGCCCACCCCACGCAGCATCCAGGAGCGAGCCAGCAGGCGTGACAGGGGTCTGCGAGCCCCTTGAGAAGCACAGACCACAGAGGCCCATACAAAGTCCTAACGATCTTTAAACCCTTTGGTCCCACTGTGGGAAGTGTTCCTGCAGGAACCTTTAGGAGCTCGAAAGAAGCAGTGTTTGCTCAGAATCCCCTCTGGCTTCTGATGGCACAAATCAGAACCCCCGCTCCAGGTGGCCTCACCATCCGGAGTGAGGACAGCACCTGTGTGCTGGCTACTTAGCACCTACTATGCACCGTTCATGTGGCTTTATGTCATTGTTACGTCCTCCACACAACCTGGCGACGTGGGCAGCCTCGTGATTCTATCCACAGTGGTGATGCAGCTCTGAGGTCACAGGACCACAGGACCACAGGACCACGCGGCTGAGCGTCCTGCACCAGGCCTGAGCTCAGCGGCTGGGACACTCTCTGGGCTCCTGCTCACAGCGGCCCTGGAAACAGCTGCCCTGACAGCCTCCCTCCACCAGCAAGGGACCAAGAGCCAACGATGTACCCACAGCCACAGTGCTGCCAGACCCACGCTCCGGCCCTCTACCTCCCTGCCGCTGGGCCCCTCATCACCCGTGGGGACAGGCAGATGGACTCTGACAGCCAATCACTTTCTCCGCGGGGCAGGCTGGGGACCAGAGGAGTTATGTGCTGAGCCCAGCAGAGGCTGAAGTTCTGGGCCACGGTGCTTGGGTTTTTGTTTTTTTTGAGACAGGGTCTCCCTACGTAGTTAGGCTGGGCTTCAGCTGACTATGTTGCCTGGGGTGGCTTTGAATGCGTGGGAATCCTTCTGCCTCAGCCTCCCTAGTGCTGAGATTACAGGGGTGCACCACCACCCCTTCAGCACTGGTATGACCTTTTACGGAAATACGGCCTTGGGTGCGATCAGTGAAGATGGGGTGCTTCTGGTGGAGGAATCTGGGCAAAGAGACAGTGGGAACGTACAGAGAGCATCACAAGCTCCAAGCCAAAGCATGCTTGAGGTCACCAGCGCGTGTTAACAGCGGGGCCTGAGGCAGAGGAGCCCCAGCCCTCAGGTGGAAGCACACTGCTATAGCTCGATTTTGGACTCCGAGCCTCCAGAAATGTGAGATCATAACTCTTTATGCATAAGCAGTTTTTAAATTCGTACGGCAGTCCCAGGAAACTCATGCAATTATTCATCAGACGATGACCCAAGGAGGAAAACAGTGACGGGGCTACGTGAAGACGCTCAGAGTGCCCGCGATGTCAAAAAGAAAACAAAAGGGCAAAGCGTGCTGTCTGGCTTGTCCAGCACTGCGGCGGGGAGACAGCGGTGCACAAATACATCAGCAGACCTGAGACGCCTTCCACTCCATCCTTCCGTTTCTCAAGTTCACACTTACACATCTTACAAACTTGCTCACAACATTGAAACCAGGGAATATGGAGGTATCCAAGACTATGGGGCTGTGTCCCCTCGAAATTCTTACACTGAAGGAATCCGATCCCTTGTATTTCTAAATATGATTACACTTAAGATGGGACCTTTAACGAGGTAGCTAAATAAAAATGAGCTGTTAGATGGGCCCTATTCAAGGAACAGGTATCCGCTTGAGACATAGGGAGACATGGGACACAGCTGTGCACAGCAGAACGACGGAGCAAAGGGGGCATCCCCCTTCGAGCCAGAGAGAGGCCACAGAAAGACCGCACGCGCTGGTCCCCACATCTTGGACTTCCGCTCTCCGGAGCTGCAGGCCCAGCGTCAATCTGCTGTTCAAGCATCCAGCCTGCAGCATTTTGCTACGGCAAGCAGAGCACAATCTGGAGCCAGACTCCCCACGGCTCCCGGTGTGCTGAGAGCCGGAGCTGAGGGCAGCCAGGTGAGCCCGAGGGCGGACGGGGCGTCACTCACCCAGACAGTTGTGCCCGTCGTGCGCCAGCATGAAGCCGTCGAAGCAGGTGCACCGGTAGTTCCCGGGGATGTTGATGCATTCGTGGACGCAGCCTCCGTTGTAGGAGTCATTTTCACACTCATCGATGTCTGCAGGGGACAGAGAGGCGTCAGAGGAAGAGCCTGGGGCCCCCGCCCCCCAGCTGTCGGGATGTGAGTGAGACCCGGGGACTCTGCAGAATCCTAGAGGCCGCAAACATGAAACCCTGGCTGGGCCGTGTGCTGGGCTCCTGGTGACTGCCATCTCCTACCTCGGTGAAACAGGCAGGAACCTGGCCCTGGCTCCTCGGAAGCCTGTTGGCACCAACGGCGTGCAGGGCCCTGTCTGCAACCCTGCACACTGGCTCTCCTGCAGCCCGGAAAGGGAGGGAAGGGACTTACACAGCACTTACAAAGCGTGACTTCTCGAATGAAAGGAAAGTCCACCAACTCCCCCAGATAATTTCCTTCCCTGTGGGCATTTCAACCGCTCTGGCTTCCTTGGTATAACAAAAGCTTCTGTTTCATACACAATGGCCAAGAGCCTCTGGAAAGGTCACCCTTTTTGCTGTCATAAGTCTTTTTCAGCATTTTCCATCGGAGGTCAAAGGGCTATCAGTTCTGGAGTTCCAGCGGGAGGAACAGGGACTCGCCCAGCTAACATTCAGGGAGCTGCCTTTCGGAACTCAGGCCCCGGTCACAAGACTATGTGTCACTGTCTCCTCTATCCCCACACTGACTCTGGATGTGGACGCCAGAATCATTCGTCCAGCCTTACAAGGGCAGGGAAGAAACGCAGGCACAGGGAGGCTAAACCTGGCCAAAGCGCACACCTAGGCAGCGGAGCACAGGGATTCCCAAGTGCAGCCTGGCTCCGGGCCCCGGGATCCTAAACCCAGGACAGGACTCTTAGGGAAGGCGTCCAGGCACAGAGAACCGCTGTTAGCCACGGCCTGGGGGCACCGGCTCTTCTGGGGCCAAATACTCCCTGGTTGATGCAACTCAACCTACACCTTAGCACGATTGCCACAGGCTCCGGAAGGGCCCGCTGCAGAACCAGAAGCGGGAGTTCCGCACTAAGCAGACACAGAACTGTGGGGCAGTCTTGCAGGAAGAAGCAGTCCTTCCCTCATCCGCTGTGAGGAGTCTAAGGTGGAGCTCCAGCTCAGCAGCAGGGAGGTACCAGCCGGTGGAGAGGGGAGAGCCTGAAGAGGAGCTCTGGCTGCTCCCCAATGGCCCGAGGAGCTGCCCTGGGAGACCTGAGCTCCCAGCTGGTCCAGAAGGCAGAGCTGCTAGCCATGGGGGAAGCCATGGGGGCCAATTAACTTTCACAGCAGGGGTCGGCCTGGAGCCAGATGCTGGCTTAGGAGCCAGGAAGCTCCCTGACTGCCCTAGAGGTGACCAAGCACTGCCCCGACTCCTGCCTGCCAAGGACACCCAGAGTGGACCGGATGACTTCATGGAAAAGGGCAGAAGTGACAGCGGACACAAGATCTGGGCTACTGACCGACTCCCGGAGTGGACCTTGCCAGCCACAGTGAGGGACACACAGATAGCCTAGGTCTCTGAAGGTCCAGGAGCAGGAGGCCCTGCCGGGACGGCCAGGTGCATCAGGACCCCGTTCTGCAACTCATGTGCCTTGCTCTGAATCCCGAGACTGAGTTCCCTTAGTGACTGTGAGAGGGAGGAGGGTAGGACCATGTGTACTGGAAGGAGGCAGAGATTTATAAAAACCGAGGGGCGCCGACTGCTCCCCAGCTCCCCTCCTCAGCCCCGACCTTTCTTCACAGTCCAGGCTCCACAATCACCCACTTCCTGCCCCCCATCTACGTAACACTGCAAAGGCAAAATAACCCAACTTCAATTCCTGGAGGCTCCTCACTGCAGTGAATATGGTTTTCCCTCCACACTCTGTCTGATCGAATCGGCTACCCGTGTGAATTCCTGTACCCCTGACACGGACACGGGTGCCCACTGGGCACCCATTTCCATTACTGTTGGCACAGGCACCACCTGGGATGATTTTGCCCAGCAATGTCTCCCCTGGCTGGGAGTGGAGGCTTTCCAGTCTGATTCAGGCTGCGGCTCTTGCCCCACGGTGCGTGTGTGACTCACGTGGGATTAGTTAGACGGGGCAGAAGGACTTTTATTTCATACTCCGGAAAAGGATTTTCTCTCACGTTGTACCTCAGAAGAAAGTGATCCAGTATCCGCTCCTGAAAGCAACGCCAGCCCTTGTGACTCTCACGGCAGCCCTCTGGGACAGGTTCTCGGACTCCCCTTTTATGGGTGAACAAACCGAGGTGCAGAAGGGATGGGTCATGGCTCACGGCCACAAGGTAAGCAGCTAGGCAGGGACCGGAACCAAGGCCTTTCAGTCTGCAGAACCCGAATCCTTTCTCCTGAGCCAGGATGTCCGTCGCACAGCAGCCACGGGCAAAGCTGCTTTATACACTTTATTTTACCCTTAGGACATTTATAAAGAGTGCCGAGAGACCTCCATCCTACTTATTCCCAAACACGCGCCCCACTGGCTCCCCATCTATCCATTCTTACACACACACACACACACACACACACACACACACACACGCAGCCATGTTTGTCTGTCTACCCACACAGCTAACTAGTTGGCCCATCAGGCATCCATTTATCCAAACAGCCACCCATCCACCCACAACTGCCCATTCATCTGTTTACTCCATAACCTATCCTTTCAAATACCCACCCAAGCATTCTTTTATTATTTATTTATATTAAAATAACCCACCGAAGTCCACTGAGCTGGCCGCTCTTTCCTGTATTCGGTCACATATGCGCCTGCCCATTGATTCTGCAGAAATCCACCGCCTATCCAGATGTTTATGCATGCATCTGTCTAAACACTCAGCCCGGTATGTCCATTCTTCCACTGCCCTGAAGATCTGCTTACTCATCCTCACATCTGCTCACCCTTTCATCCATCCAAATGCCTAACCCCCCATGCATGCATCCAAACCCCCACCCTCCCATCAAACACACCCAACACCTGCCTGCCCCTCACCCTGTCCCCACACACATCCGAAACCAGCCCACTTACTCACGTACCCACCGTTCAAACACCCGTCCACTCCCCTACCCGAACGTCTGCTCACTCATTCCTTCGAACACGATCCAGAAACGCACAAAGAAAGATTTTAAAAAGAACAAGCTGCTAGCACAGAGAAAAGAGAAATGCGTAAGTTGAGCTAGTGACAGGATCAGAGATACATCTGGTAATTCCCACACAGTTTTACGAAGATGAACCATAAACCGAAGCAAAGAAAGACAATCTATTGCAGAGTCAGTGTACCTATAAAATGCAATTGAAGCAGTCATTTAAGGGGGTGACGTCTGAGATTCCCTCAGGCCGCCTAATGACGGGCAGTCGCATCCTCTGATAGGAGAATCATGCATCTATCTCAATTTGCCCAGGAGACGTTCCAGTCTATGCCTACTGTCTGGGTGAAATTATTTCTGGTGAGTTTTTTTCACTATTAGGGTGATCAGTGCTTTGACCACCGTACCAAAGGCATCATCAATTGACTGCTTCTGAAAAGGCAGTGAAACGTCTAGACTGTTCCTTCCTCGGACCGCTGCACAGGGTGGGCCACAGAAGATGGAAACGGTCTAGAGCACGGGAGGGTTTGCTCCTCACATCTCTTGCCTCAGTGCTACCCAAAGAGCTCCCCAAGACCCAAGCAACTCTTAAAGGATCAGTTCTCTGATCACACCCGGGAGACAGGTGTGACGTGTTCCTGCAGGCATCTGTGACAGCCAGCTTGACCTCCCCAGCACCCAGAATGGAGGACACCGGCTCTCAAAGCGGAACTGCCCCCTTCCTCCTGCCTGTGTATTGAACTTTTGTTTTTAAAACCACGCGAACCTCTTGCCTTAACATAGAAGACAGAAGTGCACAAACTAATTTTTAAAAATCTCTGGCAAAGCCAGAGTGCACTTATGATGACCCAGAGGTCACCGACCCTTGGAAGATGACCTCCAGGACAACCATGAGGCTCTTAGCTCTAAAGAACCACAACTGCTAGAGAAAGAGGGACAGAGCAGAGCTCTGGACACTTATTCTCCAGGGACAGCAGGGGGTGAACTCTGCTCATCCGGCAGGTCAGCTGAACCCTCACCTCCTGTATCTCGTGCCTGTGGCCTGGGTCACGCGCAGAGGAGGTCACCCGGCCAAAGGCGAGCCCTGTGCAACGGCTGGAGTCCTTCTGAGGAGGCGGAAATCGGATGCAGGGGCCCTGCCGACAGCACGTGGGAGGACACACACAGGCACCCGGGAGGAGACAGCTGTGCGCCCCCAGAAGCTGCCAGCCGCATCCTTGGGGTGCATGGGGTTTCAAAGTTCCCGTGTTCCTCCAGTTCATCAAGGAGGAAAGCAGGGACAGATGTCACCTCTGAACCCCCTGGAGGGGTGGTGGGAAGGCAGATCCGTGGGGACAGCCAGAGTTAACGGGAGCAGGGAGTGGGCAGGCAAAAGATGTGACCGGCCTGCCAGTCCACCCCACAGGGGACTCCCCTGAGGACGAGGGCCATCCTTGCTCCTTCCAGCTTAGAGATTTTTTTTTCTTTTTTAACAGAAACTCCATTTCCAAAGAGAAGCCAGCTCCCAACATCCGACAGAGGAGAGAAAAACAGCAGGCACATTGATGGCTCATTGTGGGATTTTAAAAGGTCACCAGGTCCCACTTGCTGTATATTAAAGTTGTAGCATGCACACGCAATCCCGCAGCCGTGGTGGTGCACCCCAAATAGGATGCCCCCCAATTAATTCGAAATTGATCCCAGCTGCCCTATAAAATGCCTATGAATTGCATGCTGCCTGGGTTCTAAAGGGTTCTTTGAAGGAACCAGAACACCTTCTCGTGATATTTTAACACTGCTTGGGGGATATTTTCTTGAAAATCAGGACTGCCCCCCAAATCTCAGGATGAGGGTTTTTGAAGCGCTGCCCCCTCCGCTCTTGGAGATCATTGCTGAAAATGTCTTCTCATTCCTCACACTGCCCTAAAATTGGCACTTAGACATTCCTCTAGGAGGGCAAAGCCCGGGCCCTGGTAAAGCTCCTCCCGCCCAGC